TTCGGGTATTGCGCGGATGTTGTTGTTATAGTTACCATACTTATTAGATCCAAAGATTTCTGAGATTGTATCAAAAAGATTAAAAAAGAACTTGTGTAGTCTTTGATAAAGTAAAATATTGGTAAGTACATTGTTAGTGTTTTAAATTTAAAATATAGGGCCGAAACCACATTTATTGTGCTCTGTTTTTTTTAACTACATCACAATATCATAGGGGAAAATGAAAACAGTGTCAAGTTTTTCCTTACTAGAAAAATGACATTTTTTTATATTTCCCTCCCTTCCCCTTTCAGTTTAGAAATGATTGTGTAAAATATTTCACGGGAATAGAAATTTTAGTTTAATGGAATTGTTTTTTAATTAAATAAAGTAAATAACTATCCCTTATTGCTTATCATTTTGATAAAATGTTATTAAAAAAAAGAAATTTTAAAAAAATTGTTAATAGTATGAAGCATTTATTTATCTTCAGATATATAATTTTCTTCTATTTTATAAATTTTTTCATGATTGCACAATCATTATTCTAGTAATCCCATTTTCGGACTTAAAAAAGGATTACCAAGTAATCAATCCTATTTTTGCAGTTATTTTCCATTTATTCTTCTTTCTTTATCAGTAGTTCTTTCCCACAGTTTTGTGTATCATATGTAATTCACTTTTCCCAGAATGTTTCTAAAAAATTGTTTTTTTTTTTGTTATTTTGACTTTTTTCCAAAAAATTATTTCCTTGAACTAAGTTTTTGGTGAGCTTCATTTTCATTCTTACTTTTGATTTGTGTCTTTCAGGTATTGCAGTGGATGTTGTTGTCTATGTTCCTTATTTTATTAGACCCAAAGATTTCGGGAGATTGTATCAAAAGGTTTAAAAAAGAATCTTGTGTAGTCTTTGTGAAGCTCAAAGAGAAAAAAAAAAAAAACTTTATAAAACGGGGGATGCTTGATGTGCGTGGATGTAGTGGGATGACAAAAAAGGATGATTGCGAAGTTATGAATGAAAAAAATTTGGATGCCCTGGCACTAAGCGAAAAAAAAGCTGGGGGGTAGGGGAGTTTCGGTGGGGGGAAAATAAAGGGGTTTAAAACGGAGATCTGAGGAGTTTGAGTAAGGAAGGGGTAGCAAAAATTGTTGAGGATCAGTTAGGGAAAGGGAAAAGAGAAATAAAATGTTTTAAATTAAAAGGATTATTGGATTAAAAGTAAAGGTTGATGCGAAAAGGGGTCATAATAAAACGGTATGCACCGGAGAAGAGGGAATGTAGAGGAGGAGGGAGATTTTGGGGGAGTTTAAGTGAATGTATAGGAACCTTTTAAAAAAGTGAGAGAGTGTGGTAGGGGGCCTGAATGCTAAAGTAGGAGAAACTTTTAGGAGGGTGTGGTAGGGAAGTTTGGGGTGCCAGGTGGGAAATGATAATGGGGCCCTTTGATTGAACTTTGTATAGAAGGGGTTTGTTTAGGTAAATATTTTAAGAAAAAAGGGTAAATAAGTATACAAAATTGATGTAGGGGGGAAATGACAGTGTTTGTTGGATTATATATTAGTAGATAAAAGATGTTGAGTAGACTTCAGGATGTACATGTTTATAGAGGGGCCTCAGATATATCAGATCACTTTTAGTTGTAGTACACTGAGAGTAAAAGGTAGATGGGTTACAAGGAGAATAGAAGCATCAGGGAAGAGAGAGGTGAAGGTTTAAAAACTAAAGAGGAGGCAGTTAGGGTAAGATTTTAAGCAGCTTTTGGAGGATAGATGGGCAAATGAGAGCATAGGCAATGGGGTCGAAGAAGTATGGGGTAGGTTTAAAAATGTAGTGTTAAAGTGTTCAAGCAGAAGTTTGTGGTTACAGGAAAGTGGGTGGGGGAGGGAAGGGGAGCGATTTGGGGAAATGATTGATGTAAACAGAGTAGTAAGGGAAAAAAGTTAGCATTGAGAAGTTTTTACAAAGTAGAAGTGATGCAAGGAGGGAAGAGTATATGGAGACAAAGAGAGAGGTTTAGAGAGTGGTGAAGCAATGTAAAAAGAGAGAAAATTTGAGAGAGTGGGTGAGATGTTATCAACAAATTTTGTTGAAAATGGAAAAAGTTTTGGAGTGAGATAACAAGTTGGGGAAAGGGCCTAGAGAACAAATGGATTTGTCAGTTAAAATAGGGAGGGAGAGTTATTAAATGGAGAGTTAGAGGTATTGGGAAGATGGAGGGAATATTTTGAGGAATTGTTAAATGTTGTTTGAAGATGGGGAAAGCTGTGATTTCGTGTATAGGGCAAGGAGGAATAACATCTTGTAGGAGTGAGGAAGAGTCAGTTGTGAGTGTGGGGGAAGTTCGTGAGGCAGTAAGTAAAATGAAAGGGGGTAAGGCAGCTGGGATTGATGGGATAAAGATAGAAATATTAAAAGCAGGTGGGGATATAGTTTTGGAGTGGTTGGTGCTATTATTTAATAAATGTATGGAAGAGGGTTAAAAGGTACCTAGGGATTGGCAGAGAGCATGCATAGTTCCTTTGTATAAAGGCAAAGGGGACAAAAGAGAGTGCAAAAATTATAGGGGGATAAGTGTTGGAATAGTTTTAAAAATGCAGTATTAGAATGTGGGGCAGAAGTTTGTGGTTATAGGAGGGTGGGGACATTAGGAAAGAGGAGTGATTGGTGGAATGATGAAGTAAAGGGTGTGATAAAAGAGAAAAAGTTAGTTTATGAGAGGTTTTTACAAAGCAGAAGTGTTATAAGAAGAGCAGAGTATATGGAGAGTAAAAGATAGGTAGAGAGAGTGGTGAGAGAGTGCAAAAGGAGAGCAGATGATAGAGTGGGAGAGGCACTGTCAAGAAATTTTAATGAAAATAAGAAAAAATTTTGAAGTGAGTTTAACAAGTTAAGAAAACCTTGGGAAAGTATGGATTTGTCAGTTAAAAACAGAGTAGGGGAGTTAGTAGATGGGGAGAGGGAGGTATTAGGTAGATGGCGAGAATATTTTGAGGAACTTTTAAATGTTGAGGAAGAAAGGGAGGTGGTAATTTCATGCACTGGTCAGGGAGGTATACCATCTTTTAGGAGTGAAGAAGAGCAGAATGTAAGTGTGGGGGAGGTACCGAGGCATTACGTAGAATGAAAGGGGGTAAAGCAGCTGGAACTGATGGGATCATGACAGAAATGTTAAATGCAGGGGGGGATATAGTGTTGGAGTGGTTGGTACTTTTGTTTAATAAATGTATGAAAGAGGGGAAGATACCTAGGGATTGGCAGAAAGCATGTATAGTCCCTTTATATAAAGGGAAAGGGGACAAAAGAGATTGTAAAAATTATGGAGGAATAAGTTTATTGAGTATACCAGGAAAAGTGTACGGTAGGGTTATAATTGAAAGAATTAGAGGTTAGACAGAATGTAGGATTGCGGATGAGCAAGGAGGTTTCAGAGTGG